GCCTGACACTCGCATCCTGATCCTGAACGCTAAACCCTCACGCCCTGACCCTAACAACCTAGCCCCCAAACTCCAACCACAACAACCCGCACCATTGATACCCACACTCTAACCCCAACACCCTGCACTCCTGACAACCCCTGTCCGCGCACCGGAGCGCGCCCCGCTCCACCACATCCACCCTCCGCCAGAAAAGGGGGCGAAGGGGGGGCCTTAGCCGGCGCAGAAAGGGAAAGAAAAGTTATGTGGAGACCGTCCCCATAAAACAGTGGGAGTACCCAGCCTCGCCGTGATCCCTGTCTCTAAGATGGACAGACCCAAAGGAGAAGACAATCTCAGCGATGCGCCTCCAGAAACTAAGCGAGTCTTGAAGGCAGTGAAGTGATGCCAGCCATACGGATAGGCATATGCATCAGGCTAAAAAGAGAGGGGCTGGGTTGTGAAGGCCCCCATCACTCTAAAACCCCCTTTTACAGCTAGAAGGTCCACCACGGGCGCTCTTATTGAGGTTCCATGGAACTGCTTCCTGGACCCAGACCCACTAGAAAACGGCCTGCACGTTGCGTGTGGTGGCGACCTTGCGGTGACGCTCCGGCCGACTGGTTTCAGTCTGGCCAGCTGTCGGCGCGGCTGTCGGTGCCGCCAGCGGGGAACCGCTCGGCGTCGTTGATCGTGCCGATGTCGGTGCCGCGGGCGGCGAACTGGTTGGCGCCGCCGTCGGTGCCGCCGTCGGCGCCGCCGCCGTCGCCGCTGTCGGCACCTCAGTCGGCGCAGTCATCAGTGCGGCGGTCGGGACGGCTGTCATCGCAGCTGCTGGCCAGCCAGTCGGCGCCTCCGTCGGCGCTGCTGTCGGCACCGCAGTCGGCGCCGCTGTCGACGCACCTGTCGGCACTGATGTCGGCGCCTCTGTCGAGGCCGCTGCCCGCGAGAAGCACTCGTCGGTGCCGCAGCCGATGCCACCGTCGGCGCAGCTGTCGGGACCGCTGCCGGCAAGGCTGTCCGCGTCGCGGTCGGCGCGGCCGGAGGTGGACTTGTCGGCGCAACGGTCGGCACAACGGTCGGTGCACCAGCCGGCGCGGCTGTCGGCGCGATGATTGATGGTCCCATGGGCGCCGCTGGGTGCGCAGCGGTCGTCGAGGCCGTCGGCGGCACGGTCTCGGCTGGCGGTGCCGTAGTCAGCGCGTCAGCGCAGCTGTCGACGCACCGGCCAGCGCCGCTCTCGGCGCTGCTGACGGCGAACCTGCTGGAGCAGCTGACAGTTCTGAATTCGGCGGGGCCGCCGTTGCCAGCTCCGCAGTCGGCGCCGCTGTCGGGGCCGCAACCGGCACCGCAGTTGGCGCGGTTGTCGGCGAACCAGTCGGGGCGGCTGTCAGCGCCGCTGTCGGCGCAACTGTCGGACCTGCGGTCGGCGCAGCTGCTGGTGTAGCCGTCGGTGACGCCGTCGGCGCAGCTGCCAGTGCCGCGGTCAGCGCAGCTGTCAGCGCCGCTGTGGGCACAGCTGCTGGCGTGGTGGTCAGCGCCGCGGTCGGTGCAGCTGTCGGCAGCGCAGTCGGTGCAGCTGTCACCGCCGCCGTAGGCGCCGCTGCCAAGGCCGCAGTCGGCACCGTCGTTGGCGGACCGGTCGGCAGCCTCGGTGGAGCCGCCGTCGGCGCCGCTGCCAGCGAGGCGGTTGAATCCTTCGTCGGCGCCGCAGACGGCGCAGCTGCCGGCGAAGCAGTGAGCGCCGCAGTCAGCGCCGATGCTTCTGTTCGCGAGGAGGGGGTCAGAGACGCAAAACAACGATGACAACGATAACGATAACAACGATAACGACAACGATAGCGATAACAATGAAAAACAGTTGTTGTTGTCCTCGTTGTTATCATTATCGTTGTTATCGTTATCCTTATCGTTATCGTTGACGGAAGGGGCGCCTTCTGGGGGACCTTCCTGCCCGCGGGACACATCCCCAATGACGGCGCCAGCGCGGGCGGCCGCATGCGCCCCCGCAAGACACACGGCACACCCCTCGTGCAGCGTAGACTCTGCGCCCACAGGACACCCAAGCAGTGGCGCCAGGGTTGGGGGGCGGGTCGCATGCGGTCCCGGTGGTGGCTCCTCCGCCACGGTGCGCTTTCAGCGGAGAGGAGCAGTGCCGGATCCGCGCGGATCTGGTGACCTGGCGCTGATTCCTTGGAGGGGCTCCGCGCGCCAGCAAGGGGTGTCCACAGCCGTTCTGAGAACCACGCGAGGCAGCTGCTTCTGCTTCGAGTGGCTGCCCCTCCGCTCTGCGGCGTCTTGGCCCCCGCTCCGTCCGCCAGTGTCCGCTCGCACGCCCGCCGGGTCCCGGGCGTGCTCGGCCCCGCGCGCCCAGCCCAGCGCGGGGAGAACGGGTCCTGAGGGAAACGGTCCTGGACCCTGGTGCCTTCCATCGTCCTTCTCCTCGTCCTCCTCGTCCTCCTCGTCGTCCTCCTCCTCCTCCTCCTCCTCCTCTTCCTCCTCCTCCTCCTCCTCCTCCTCCTCCTCCTCCTCCTCCTCCTCCCCTCCCCTCCCCCTCCTCCACCTCCTCCTCCTCCTCCTCCTCCTCCTCCTCCTCCTCCTCCTCCTCCTCCTCCGACTCCTCCTCCACCTCCTCCCCCCAAGTCGAGTTCTTTTTCCTGAGTCGCTCTCTGACAGTCCCGTGGCCCGTGGAGGAGCCCGAGAGCCCGAAGACGGCGCGAAAGACCTCAGGACCCGCTTCCCTCAGGAACTCGCTCCCCCCAACGGCGACCGGTGCTCCCCCCTCGCCCGCCCGAGAGGTCCGGCAGCACCCTGGTGCGCCCTCTGCCCGCGTGCCCCGGCGCGCCCGCTTCGAAAGAGCCCAGAGACACACGAATAAGTACACACACCTCCCAGGATGCCCCCATATCTTCAACAAGTATGTCGTTGATGCCGACCTCCCCCACACCTCCCATGTTTTCGATGTTTTCCTGGGAGCCGACGAGTAATTGTGGTTGTGCGTTTTTCCCCCTCCTGGCGCTCGCCCCCATCGGGGGCGGCCAAGAGGGGGGCGTCCAAGGGGAGGGGGGCGCAAATCATGTCCGGCGGCACGTGCGCGGCCCAGCGGGGGGGCCACGAACGTGATGAGAGAAGAAGGGCCAGGCCATGAGATCTGAGGAAGCATCATGGCCCACGCCACGATATCCACCCCCCACCCTAGTCATCACGCCACTACAACTCCTCCTACTCCTCCTCCTCCTCCTCCTCCTCCTCCTCCTCCTCCTCCTCCTCCTCCTCCTCCTCCTCCTCCTCCTCCTCCCTCCTCCCCCCTCCCTCCCTCCCTCCCTCCCTCCCTCCCTCCCTCCCTCCCCCCCTCCCTCCTCCCTCCCTCCCTCCCCCCCTCCCTCCTCCTCCTCCTCCTCTCCTCCTCCTCCCCGCCTCCTCCTCCTCCTCCTCCTCCTCATCTTCCTCCTCCTCCTCCTCGTCCTCGTCCTCGTCCTCGTCCTCTCTCCTCCTCCTCCTCCTCCTCCTCCTCCTCCTCCTCCTCTCCTCCTCCTCCTCCCTCCTCCCTCCTCCCTCCTCCCTCCTCCCTCCTCCTCCTCCCTCCTCCCTCCTCCCTCCTCCGGCGGCAGGACCTTTTCGCCAAGCAGCGCTTGCACGTTGTAGGAGTCTTTCTGCCCTCCTCATCCTTCTCCTCCTCCTCATCCTAGATTTTCAGCCCTCCCTCTCCTCCTCCTCCTCCTCCTCCTCCTCCTCCTCCTCCTCCTCCTCCTCGTTCTCCCCCCCCCCCCTCGAGCTTGTGCCCTTGAGTGCGGCCCGCCCGCGGGCGACTCGTGCCATGCCGTGTGCGGCTGGTCCGCCAGGGTTTTCAGCTCGTCGCCGCCCGCGGGCGACCCGTGGCTGCTGTGTGCGCTGGCTGGTCTGGCAGGGTTTCGGCTGGTCGCCGCTTGCAGGCGCTAGATGGCCGCTGCCTGCGCCACTGCTACTTCTTGATTTAGCAACAGCCTGGCGTGGCAGTTGGCGGACAATGCGTGTCCGCCACCTGCGCTAGGTGTACGAGTGTCGGTTCGCAATGCTGCTTTGGCATTCTCTCAGGTTCCGCGTGCTGCACCCCTTGGATGGCACCAGAAACGTTGCCCCACATAGATTGCAGCGCCAATGGTGCCCGTTGAGAGCGCGAGAGCCTACTGTTTGGGGTCCATGCTGGCGAACACATAGTTTCGGACCCCTGGACGCACGCTTCGGGCACTAGGACGGCCAAAGTACCCGGGGAACAGCTGTTCGCAGGGAAGGAGTCGGGAGCCCATGAGACCCAGGTCACGCACGAAATCGTGACGCCGGGAGGGGAGGGCCTCCCTGCGCCCCTTCTAGCCTTCCCCCCCTCTGATCTTGGCGCCAGGAAGCTCGGGAGCGGCAAGAAGGGGGGTGTCCAAGAGGGGGGGGGGTGCAAATCATGACCGGCGGCATGTGCGCGGCCCAGCGGGGGGGCCAGGGACGCAATGAAATAAGAAGAGGCGCTATAAAATCTGGGGAGCTATCATGGCCCCCGCCATGACATCCATCCCCCCCCCTAGTCATCACCCCCCTCTTTTCCGCCCCCGAGAAGCGCTCACGACGGTCAGGTGGCGGCCTTCTCCGGGCTCTGGGACCCTCGCGGATCGAGCCCGCTCGAGAACTTCCCGGCGGAGATGGGGTCGAGTGATACGGCCGTGAGTGTCTCTCCTCCCACTGTAGGGGGGATCAATGCCCTGCGTTGACAAAGCGTTGGGGGCTGGATTCTTCGTCAAGCTCATGTTATCGCACATCCGACTGACCGGTTTGTCCAATCCGACTGCGCCAGGGGTTTCGGCCATTCACCCCGGAGGCAGTGTTCCGTCCCAGCTCAACGCTGCACTGTCACAGGGCTGAACTTCAGGTAAACACATTGAACATATGCACAACACATCCGATAAAACATCAGACAAACCACACAGAGCGTCAATCCACCCGACATCCTTGGCTTCCCGGCGAGCACCAAAACGCTGGCCGACAGGGCGGTCAACTTACGCTGTGTGCGTGCGGACGAAGCGTTCCACCTCGCCGCTCATGTAGCACGGCCTCCGCCCGACCAGCAGCGTCTCACCGCCGCCGTGGCCGTGGCCGTGGCCGCCGTCGCTGGCGTGATCGCCGCCGTCGCCGCCGCGGCCGCCGCCGCCGTCGACTGTCATTAGAAGAAGCCTCCTAGATGTGGTCGGAGTGGATCCCATCTGGGAGGCCTAGGTCGGCCACGCGCAGCGGGGATGGGGGAGGGGGGAAGGATTCTTAAAAAGCACCTCTGCTCCTTAGCAGGCGCGGGCTTTGTCTGTAGATGTAGGGCCAGCGCCTTCTAAGAAGCGGCCTCCTTCTAAGAAGCCGTCCCCCCTTCCCTTACCACATTGTGCGCGCCGCCAGCATGCAGAACGCGCCCGACCACCACCGTCCCGCTGCGGGCGAGGCCATGGCCGCCGCCGCCACCGCTGGCCGGCTGTCCTCAACCCCACCTTTTGAAGTCAAGCTCCTGCCTCCGCCAGCCGCCGCGGAGCCGCCCCCGGCTTACTTCCGCCGAGGATGAGGGAACCCAAAGGTACCCATACCGCTTCTCCCCGGACCTCTCCCAGGGCGCGTTCTGACAAGAATTTCGAGGCGAATCCAGCGGTGGCCACGAGGACTGCCCCGGAGGCCCGGACAGGGGACAGCGGGGCGAATAGGGTAGCAGTGTGGGTCCCTTTCTCTCCTCTGAGGCTTAGACTTCCGCCGAGGAAGAGGTGCCAACTCCCTCGACTCCTCGGAGGCGAGGCCCTTTCCTGAACGCCCCCACTGGCTTGACCGCCGCCGCCGCCGCCGCCGCGGCCGCGGCGCCGCCGCTCGTGCAGGGCGGCCTCAGCCCGACCAGCACCGTCTCGCCGCCCTGGCCCTGTGGCGCGGAGGCCCGGATCTCCTCCATGGTCTTGGCGCTGCTGCGGAAGACCTTCCGCGTCCAGCCGGCCTCGCGCGTGTCGATCAAGTCTTGGATCGTGAACTGCATCCTCACAGGGGCAATGCAGTCGATATCTGGAGCAAGGAAGGGCGAGAAGGACGCAAGGGCCTTGGGCGCCGAAGTTGGCACTCTTGGGGCTGCGGACAGCCGACACCCTGAAGGGCTGGCTGGTGCTAACCGCCACGGGTGGGCCGCAGAGGCAAAAGACGCGAGGGCACCCTGAGGACATCCGTGCGGCCTCCTCAGGAGTTTGGGCTGTAGAGGCACTGGCAGACCTCAGCTTTCGGAGGTCCGCGGCTCTTTCCTGGGTGGGCGCTGTCGCGCCCGCACCCGGGGGGCCGGCGGCCTCTGGAAGCCTGCGCGGGCCTCCCGCGCGCAGCGGCCCCACACGCCCGGCGCCATGACTTCGTCACGACGTCGACCCCCAGAGGCAGGAGAACCCAAAATCGAATCGATGGGTCGGATCGGTGATCGAAGCGAACCGGATCGGCGGACATCGGCAGCCAAATCGGCAAACAACGAATCGGCAGAAATCGGCAGGCTAGTAGGCCACCATTGAGAAGTCGGAGCCCAAATCGGAAGCCGAAGTCGAATCGAAGCGGAATCGGAAACCATCCAAATCGAATCGAACCGGAGGAATCGAAGCCAGCCCTGCAGAGGCCTCGACCCATTCCCTTGGGCTGGTGTCTCACCCCGAGTCGTGTTCGGAGGATCCCGAGGCCCGTGACGGGCCCCCAGAAGCAGAACCTGGCGAGACACCTTCCGTCGCGATTGTCTCACTGCTCACTCGCGGGGGGTCTCGGCTTGTGTGTCTTGTTGCCGTCGGGATCCTCTTGGTGTACGCGCCCTTGCCGTCTGCGGCCCTCTGGGCCTTCAGGCTCTGCAGGCGCGCGAAGACGACGGGCATGACGGCCTGGCCGTAGGGCATGGACTCCAGGGTGAGCCCGACGCAGTTCAGCAGCTCGCAGGCGCACTCGAGAGCGTGCTCCTGCGGCGCCAGGTCCTCCAGGGTGCATCTTTGCTACCCCCTCTTGGCCAGGGCTGGACCCAAGCCTTGTGTTTCGTTTTCGTTTCGTGTTCGCCGTCCCTCGCTTTGCCTTCGTTACGCCTCTGCGGCAAAACCACATCAGAACGAGAACGGTCCACGGAGTCGTCGCGAGACCACGACTTAGGTCGAGCCCCTCTGCTGCAAAACGAAACCGAAACAAAAACGGCCCACGAAATCGCGAAACCACAATTTACCCAGACCCCCGACGTGATGATTTTTTCATTACGTCGACCCTCAGAGGTCTGGACCCATTCCCCAGGACCGGTTTTTCATCCTGAGTCGTTTTTTGACGGTCCTGAGGGCCGGCAGGGCCCCCCAGAGGCCAAAAATAATGAAAAACCTCCCGTCGTCATTTTTTCATAACTCGAGGGGGTCTGTGTAGGTCGAGCCCTGCTTGTGGCCTTCAGCTCCCAGGGGAGCGACCCCGGAGCACGACCGTCAGCGGCAGCCCCCCCTTGCCAGCGGCCGCGGGAGCAGCCCCCCCCGCGCCCGACGCAGGAGGCGAGGGAGGGAACCACGATTGATTATGTCGAGCGTGCCCCCCTTACAGTCGGGGCCTTGACCTAAGGAACCCAAAATAAGGAACGAGGCCCCTTTTGTCCATGAGTTAAACCTCGATTTCCGATCGAAATCATAAGGAAACCTGAGGCAAGCTGTGAAATACTTAAGGAACGCGGAGCCCCTCCCCACCGAAAAGCGTTCCTTCTTCAGGGCCCCGACTGTATGTCGGGCGTGCCCCCTGACAAAGGGATTTTCGACGAAACATAAAGTATACGCCACGCATGGTCCAAAAATAATCCAAACATAGTCCGGGGACTGTGTTTTGAGTACTTTTTGCTCACCTTTTCGAGGTATCTCGGGGGTATTTGTAAATTTTCCGTCGAGAATCCCCCTGCAGGGGGGCAGGCCCGACATAAAACCAGGCACAGAAGCACACGATGAGCGCACGCACCTTCCGGCGCCCGTGGACGGCTTCTCCTCCGCTGGCGCCGACCCCCCACCCCCCCCCACGCCGTGCCTTTTGCTCCCCGCGTCGACGCCCCGAGGTCTGGACCCCTGCCCCGGGACCGGCTCCTCGTCCCGAGCCGTTTCTTGGCGGCCCTGAGGGCCGGTCCCCTTCCAGAGGCCAAAAATAAGGAAAAACCTCCCTGACGGCCCCCAGAGGCCAAAAATAATGAAAAACCTCCCTGACGGCCCCCAGAGGCCAAAAATAATAAAAAAAAACCCAGACGGCCAAAAATCGTCCTCTTCCTGACGGCCCCCAGAGGCCAAAAATCATAAAAGAAACCTCCCGCCGTGATATCTTCATGACTCGAGGGGGGTCTGTGCAGGGACATGCCCGAGCCGTCGTCCGACGGCCCGCGAGGCCGAGCGAGAGGCCCCGGAGGCCGAAAAGAGCGAAAAAGCCTCCCGTCGTGAGGTTCGCCACAGCGCGAGGAGGTCAGGGACCCCCCGAGGCGGAGGAGGAGGAGGAGGAGGAGGAGGAGGAGGAGGAGGAGGAGGAGGAGGAGGAGGAAGAGCAGGATGAGGAGGATGAGGAGGAGGATGAGGAGAGGAGGAGGAGGAGGAGGAGGAGGAGGAGGAGGAGGAGGAGGAGGAGGAGGGAGGAGAGGAGGACCCCCGCACACCCTTGGCGCGGAAGCCGATCGCCGATCGTCGAGCCCTCGTCGAGCGTGGACGTGGGCGCGGGCGCGTCGGGCGTCGATCTGCGCCCCAGGTCCCCGACGTCATGAGGAGGAGGAGGAGGGAGGAGGAGGAGGAGGAGGAGGAGGAGGAGGAGGAGGAGGAGGAGGAGGAGGAGGAGGAGGAGGACCCGCAGGGGTGGAGGGTCGTCTCCGGAGGCTCAGAAGGTCCCTCCGGCCTGCTGCGAGGCAGTCCAAGCCTCCGGGGGCGTCGGAGAGGGCCGGCGGCGAGCCTGGGGGGGAAGCGAGACGAGGCGGGCCTTCTCAGAAGGCTCGGAAGGCCCCCGGCTTGAGAAGTCTTCGCGGCCTTCCCCGAAGGCACGCAGCATGTTTTTCAGAATGCGCGTGGGCTTGTGAGAAGCCCCGCCGCCTTCTGAGAAGGCCTGCCCCGTTCGCTCTCCCCCTGGGCTCGCTCCTGATCCTCGCAGCCCACCCACGCACCTCGTTGTCCCCGTTCCTCGAGAGGCCCCGCCGCCTTCGAAGAAGGCCTGCACTCTCTCGCTTCCCCCTCGGCGCGCGCTACCCAAGTCTCGACCCTTTCCCCCGGGGCTGGTGTTGCATCCTGAGCAGCTCTGTCGACGGCCCCGAGGCCCGGGGAGAGGCCCCCAGGGGCCGACAGAGATTGAGAAGGGCCTTCCGTCGTGATGCTTTTGGCTCCCCCCGAGTCGTCCTTTGGGGGACGGCCCCGAGGCCTGGCGAGGTGATGCTTGGCTCCCCCCGAGTCGTCTTTTGGGGGGACGGCCCCGAGGCCTGGCAAGGGCCCCCCCCCCCCCAGAGGCCGAACCTGGCGCGACCCCTTGCATGGCCGAGCAAGGCCGAACATGGCCGTCGTGACTTTTGTCATGACTCGAAGGGCCCTGGGGTCGTCGATCGCTGCGCGATCGATCCTCGCTGCGGGCGCCGCGGGCCGGGGCTCGGAAGGGCCCCCGGCGCAGATCGACGAGGGCGCCGACGAGGAGACCGCCCGCGCACGGCTGAGAGGCGAGGCCGCCGCCGCGTGGAAAGCCGGCTCCCGCACGGGGGCTCTCGGTGGAGCAGAAAAGAAACGACGCCCTTGCTGCTCCTCCCTCTCCTCCTCCTGCTCCTCCTCCTCCTCCTCCTCCTCCCCTCCTCCTCCCCTCCTCCTCCTCCTTCCTCCTCCTCCACCTCCTGCTCCTCCTTCCTCTCCTCCTCCTCCTCCTCCTCCTCCTCCTCCTCCTCCTTCCTCCCCTCCTCCTCCTCCTCCTCCCTCCTGCCACCTTCCTCCTCCTCCTCCTCTCCTCCTGCACCTCCTCCACCTCCTTCCTCCTCCACCTCCTCCTCCTCCTCCTCCTCATCCTCCTCCCTCCTTCTCCCTCCTCGTCCCTCCTCGACCCTCCTCCGCCTCCTCCTCCTCCTCCTCCTCCTCCTCCTCCTCCTCCTACTCTACTCCTCTACCCTCCCCCACAATCCTCCTCGTCCTCCTCCCCTTCTTCGCCTCCTCTCGTCACTCCTCCTCCTCCCTCCTCCTCCTCCTCCTCCTCCTCCTCCTCCTCCTCCTCCTCCTCCTCCCTCCTCCTCCTCCTCCTCCTCCCCCTCCTCCTCCCCCTCCTCCTCCTCCTCCTCTTTCCTCCTCCCTCGTCTCCTCGTCCTCTCCTCCCCCTCGTCCTCTTGTCCCCCTCCTCCTCCTCTCCTCCTCCTCCTCCTCCTCCTCCTCCTCCGCCTCCTCCCTCCTCCCTCCTCCTCCTCCTCCTCCTCCTCCTCCTACCTCCTCCTCCTCCTCCCTCCTTCTCCTCCGCTTCCTCGCTCCTCGCTCCTCGCTCCTCGCGCTCCTCCTCCCCTCCTCCTCCTCCCCCCTCCTCGTCCCTCGCCCTCCTCCTCCTCCCTCCTCCTCCTCCTCCTCCTCCTCCTCCTCTTCTCCTCCTCCTCCTCCTCCTCCTCCTCCTCCTCCTCCTCCTCCTCCTCCCTCCTCCTCCTCCTCCTCCTCCTCCTCCTCCTCCTCCCCTCGAAATTTACATAATATGAGTACTACTCTACTCTTTCGCCTGGTGGCGTCCCGGGAATGTCCGGCCCACCTCCGCGTACTTTTTTGTTGCGCCGGATTCCCTGGAGTTGGGTTTTCGCTCAGGTTCTTTTTCAAAATGCTGCTCTCGCTAAAGCGCGGACTTCATTTTCGGGCTACCGCTCGTTCCAAATCGTGCTCCCGCTGCAGCGCTGGCCTCATTTCCGCGCTTCCGCTCGTTCCGAATCGTGCTCCCGCTGCAGCGCGGGCGTCATTATTTCCAGCGCCATGCCACGGCAAGGTTTTTCGGTCCTTCCAACATAGGCCCCAAATCAAAAAATGCCCCCCGACAAAACCATGGGAAGTGATTACACATTCGGTGTCGATCCATTGATATTTGAGGCCGCAGAAGCCCCGCATTTTGGGGCGTCGCCACGCCATGCTATGTCAGGCTATGCGTCCTCATTTCCGCACACCCGCGCTGAGTTTGTTTTTTTAAGGCTGATCTTGCTGAAGCGCGGACTTCATTTTCGGGCTACCGCTCGTTCCGAATCGTGCTCCCGCTGCAGCGCTGGCCTAATTTTCGCGCTTCCGCTCGTTCCGAATCGTGCTCCCGCTGCAGCGCTGGCGTCATTATTTCGAGCGCCATGCCCTGGCATGGTTCTCGGTCCTTCCAAATCAGCCCCTAACTCTAGAACATGGCTTCCCGAAGAAACCATCGGACGTGATTACACATTCGGTGTCGACTCGTTGATTTCTTGGGCCGCTGAAGCCCACCCCACCTTGGGCCCCTCCCCCACCTTGGGGCGTCGCCGCGCCATGCTATGCCATGCTACGCGTTGATCTTCCACACCATGCTATGCCATGCAATGCTATGCCATGCTGCGACCTCCGATTGTGCGAATAGTGATGAGGTGTACAGATCTGACGTGAGCGCACCTCGATTCTCCTCCTCCCCCCTTCCCCCCTCCATTCCCATCCCTTACCAGCCTGGAGCATATCCCTATCCCTATGCTGGGCACCTCCTCATCACGATGCCAATCTTAGGGATTCCCTTATTTTTTGAGGGCGACTCCTAAGATTGTCATCGCCTTTGGGCGTGTCAATCTCAGGGATAGGGATACGTGCGAGGCTGGTAAATCCCCGCCTCCCCTGTCCCCCCCAACTCCTGCTCCCCTGAGTTTTGGCCTGCGCGGGTGCGCCGGGCGTCGATCGCCGCCGATCCTCCATCGGTCGACCGATCGTCGTCGACGACTGTGAAGGGGCCCCCACAAACACGCAAATGAATACACACAAATAAAAGGATTTCCCAAATGTTCTATATTTTCTCGGTTTCTGTCTTCCCCCCCACTTCCCATATGTTCCTATATTTTCCTGGGGATCGACGATTAATTGTGTCTGTGTGTGTTTGTTCCCCTCCTGAGACTGGTGGAGCGAACCTCGCGCGGGTGCCGTGGGCGGGGGGCCCCCAGCGCCGACGAGGAGGCCGCAACCACGGCACCCGCCGAGAGGCAGGGCTGCCGTGGCGTGGCCCGTCGGCTTCCATAATGCGGGATGGCGATCAATAAAAAAAAAGAATGATAAAAAACATAGCTTTCTGCTATTTCTGCACAAGGTTCTGACTGGAGGAGAACGATTAAACAAATAGTTTTCCAGCCCGCGGCTGGCTTTTTTCTAATCGTCCATCCCGCGGCGGCTTGACCTAAGGAACGAGAAATACGAAACGAAGCCCCTTTTTACCGCAGGGAAAAGTCACGCACCAGGAACGGGAAGCAATCCATAACACATCGGGGACGAGAAATAAGGCATGCAAGCCTAAGGAACGACCGAGCCCCTTTTGGAAACCAAGTGTTCCTTAGTCAAGCCGCTCACTGGGGGAGAGCCCAGAACCGAAACGATGAGGCGGCTCGATGATGATGATGACGATGACGATGACGATGATGATGATGATGATGCTGATGCTGATGATGATGATGATGATGATGATGGTGATGATGATGATGATGACGATGACGATGACGATGACGATGACGATGACGATGACGATGATGATGATGATGATGATGATGATGATGATGATGATGATGATGATGATGATGATGATGATGATGAGCCCAGAATCGAAACGATAAGCCGGATCGGCGCTCGAAGTGAGTCAGACCCGCAGATATGGGCAGCCGAGTCGGGAGAAGTCGAGGCGGCGGAAAGCGGCAGGCCAGGTAGGCCTCCACGGATAGCTCGGACCCCAAACCGGAGCCCCAGGTCGAACCGCATCGGAATCGGCTGTCCTCCGAGCCGAACCGAGCCACATCGGAGGAATCGGAGCGAGCCCTGCTCCCTGGGGGGGGCCTTCGAGAAAGGACGACGGCGGCGGTGGCGGTGCACGCCCCAGATTTGGACGCCCGAAATGGGTACGGAAGGAACGGGTACAATGCCCAACAGCAATTCCTGCTCATTTTGAAGAGGATTCGCTGTCCACGCCGCCGCGGCCTGTGTTCATTCGAGACAGAAGGCCGCCTGCCCAACAGCGGCCGCTGTTGGTTTGGGACAACATTTGTTGTTGGGCATTGTACCCATCTTTTACCCTTTTCGGGCGTCCAAACCAGAGAGCCGACGGCCCAAGAAGTCTGGAGCTGCCGGCTTTTGCCCGTCTGCGGCCTCCGCGGGCCCTCGCGGGGCCCCCGGAGCGTCGACCAAGGGCTCCGGACGAGACACTTGCCCTGGATTTGAGTTGGGCGTGTCCCCCTACAAGGGAACTTTCGACGAAAAAAAAAAAAAAACTCAAAGAATACTCCAAAATGGTCAAAGAATACGTACTCAAAGAATAATCCCCCGACGTTTTTTAATTAACCCAAAAACAATTGTTGAATATTCCCCCTGTAGAGGGACAAGCCCGACTTCAGCCTGGGGAAGTGGTCCAGACGACCTCCGGGGCCCACGCGGTGAATAAATTGGAGCGGCCAGATGAGGAGCAAGGGGTCCAAGCGGGGGCAAGAGAGGCAACGCGAGGGGTCCAAGCGGGGCGGGGCCGGAGCGCCCGAAGAGAGACACGATCCAGTGCGGCTGGCACGGGAGAGGAGGAGGAGGAAGACGAGGAGGAGGAGGGGGAGGCAAGGTGAGGAGAGGAGAGGAGGGGAGGAGGAGGAGGAGAGGAGGAGGAGAGGAGGAGGAGGAGGAGGAAGGGAGGAAGGAGCAAGAGCATGAGGCAGGAGGAGGAGGAGGCGGAGGTGGAGGAGGAGGAGGAGGAGGAGGAGGAGGAGGAGGAGGGACAGGAAGTGACATAGAACATAACTTTCCGGAGGCAGACTCCGCGCCGAGCAGAGATGTTCGCGCGGAGCTCCGGCAGTTCATCTTTCTGCAGCGCTTCGCCCCTCGATCCGATCGACAAACCGGAAGGGGCTCACGCAGGAGTGCATCGTGAACTCCTGCCTCGGCTTACGCGGGCGGCGAGCGCGGTACGCCACACTGGAGACGACAGCGCCTGCACGCAGGCGCAGTGCGCGCGACTGTCCGCGCCGTCGACCCCGTTTTTTTCTGTCGTCGCGCTTCTGTCACTCACTCCCGGAGGGCTTCACACAGTCGGCGGCGCGCCGAGGGGGGGAAGCGAGCGTGGGCAGGCCTTCTCCGAAGGCGCCGGGGGGCTGTTCGAGGGACGGGGACAACGAGGTGCGTGGGTGGGCTGCGAGGATCAGGAGCGAGCCCAGGGGGAGAGCGAACGGGGCAGGCCTTCTCAGAAGGCGGCGGGGCTTCTCAGAAGCCCACGCGCATCCCGAAAAACATGCTACGCGTCTGCGGGGAAAGCCACGAAAACTTCTCAAGCGGGGGGCCTTCCGAGCCTTCTGAGAAGGCCCGCCTCGTCTCACTTCCCCCCCCCCAGGCTCGCCGCCGGCCTTCTCCGACGCCCCCTCTCGGACAAGGCTTAGACTGCCTCGCAGAAGGCCGGAGGGGTCTCCTGAGCCTCCTGAGACGACCCTCCACCCCTGCGGGTCCCCCGCTGGGCGCCCCTCCGCCCTCCGCCCTCCGCCCTCCGCCCTCCTCCCCCCCTCCCCTCCCCCCTGCCCCATCCCATCACCCCCCACCCTCCCCCTTCCCCCCTCCCCCCCCCTCCCCCCCTCTCCCTTCTTCCCGCCCCTCTTCCCGCCCCCCTCCCTCCTCCCTCGTGGCTGTGACCCGTTTGCGGCGGCGAGGTTCCCCGAGATTTTGGGGTCAGAACCTAAACTCGGCGGCACGCCAAGGGGGGAAGACCGCAGATGCGGGCCTTTTCAGAAGGCTGTCAGAAGGCCTCAGGCCTTCACAAGGGCTTTCGAAGCCTTCTTCGAAGTCGCAAGGGGCGCCTCGGCAGGCTGGAAGGCTTCTGAGAAGCCCCGCCGCCTTCTGAAGCGGCCTTCCCCCAAGAGCTGGGACCAAAGACACATCGCACTCTGCTATTTTTTGTTCAAGAAATAATGCAAATTTTCTATGCTTATCTCGAGCGGGCTGGCTACGGAGCTGGGGAGCACACCTCGAGACAAGGAATGCTCACTCCGATCTGCCTGCAGTACCGAGACATCGGTGTGGCCACTTCCCCCCTCGGCGCGCCGCCGACAAACAGCTCCCTCGTGGCTTCTGAGGGCGCCAGGGCCGAGACTGCGGAAGAAGGCCAGGGTGCAGGCGCAGACTCGGACCAAAAGTTCTTGGCCCTCCGGCCAACGCCCGCTCCCTGGACCCCATCCAGGGCCTGGATTGAAGTCGGGCGTGTCCCACTACGGGGGGATCTTCGACGAAGAATAAACATACCCCTAACAAAATACCCCAAAAAGGTCAAACATACTCAAACAATAGTCCCCAGACTATTTTTGGACTATTTTATAAATATGTGTGGTGTATTTTTTGATTCCCCACATGTTTCGTGGGGTTATGGTTTTCTTCCCTGCCGCGCCGCACCCGCGTCTCCTCACCTCCCCCCTCCCCTTCTCACACAGCGCAGCACAGCACAGCACAGCACAGCGCAGCACAGCACAGCACAGCACAGCACAGCTCAACGCAGCACAGCACAGCACAGCACGGCGCAGCACAGCACAGCTCAGCACAGCTCCCAGGGCGTGGCAGGCGTGGCATTTCCTCGACGCCACAGGGGGTGCGCTGAGGGTGGGGGCCCTATGCGTTGCAGCCAACGCATAGGAGCAGCGCAGCACAGCACAGCACAGCACAGCACAGCTCAACGAAGCACAGCACAGCACAGCACAGCGCAGCACAGCACAGCACAGCACAGCACAGCTCAGCACAGCTCCCAGGGCGTGGCAGGCGTGGCATTTCCTCGACGCCACAGGGGGTGCGCTGAGGGTGGGGGCCCTATGTGTTGCAGCCAACGCATAGGAGCAGCGCAGCACAGCACAGCACAGCACAGCACAGCTCAACGCAGCACAACACAGCACAGCATAGCGCAGCACAGCACAGCACAGCACAGCTCCCAGGGTGTGGCAGGCGTGGCATTTCCTCGACGCCACAGGGGGTGCGCTGAGGGTGGGGGCCTTATGCGTTGCAGCCAACGCATAGGAGGAGGTGGTGGTGGTGGAGGAGGAGGAGGAGGAGAAGAAGGTGGGGCAGCAGCGGCGGCAGCAGCAGCAGCAGCTGCAGCAGCAGACGCAGCAGCAGCAGCAGAAGCAGCAGCAGCAGAAGCAGCAGCAGCAGCAGCAGAAGCAGCAGCAGGAGGAGGACACCGAGGAGGAGAAGGAGGAGCAGCAGCAGAACCACCGATGGTACACATGGGAAATAAAATAGGTATGTGGGGTTCCTCGGTAGCGTAATTACTCGTCGAAAATCCCCCTGTAGGGGGACAAGCCCGACCTAAGCCTGGATGGGATCCGGGGACCTGATCTGGTCGGTTTTTCTCAGAGGCCATGGATTCCTGGAGAGCCATTCTTGCCAGCTGAGCGACGACAAGAGACTGGCCCTGCGCGGGATGACATAGCGACCCTTGCGCGGTGGCCTACGCGGGCCGCTTGCGCGGCACGCTTCCTTGAAAACGAGCGCGCTTACGCGCGACCTTACGCGGGCAGCTCACGCGCCGTCGGCGAAGACGACCACGCTTTTCCCACGTCACCCACGTCGCTCAGCTGGTTCGAGCTGCGTCCGGCCGTGTCCGCGAGAAGGGCACCCCCGCAGCCCTAGGCCGAGCACGCATGCAGCGGTCCTCCGCATCGCACAGCACGAGCTCCCGCAGGATGCCCCCCACCACCTTCGCGGAGAGCAGCTGCCGCAGGAAGAGGTGGCCCACGAAGCGCATGTTCGCGCGCATCCGCCCGCGGCGCTCCTCTGCCCGCGCCGCAGGGGGAAGGACCACCGGATATTCTGCGGCAGCTCGTGGGAGCCTCCCGTACCATCTCGCTGGCTCTTGCGCATCGACGCTGGCCGACGCCAAGCGACGCTAAACCGACGCTCAACGACGCTACTTCGGCGCCGTCTCATCCATTACCGGACGCTAGCCGACGCGAGTGCACTCTAAAGACGGAATGAGGAAGGCACAAAAGGCTCCCATGATTTGATACCGGCCAAATGGGTCGAGCGGGCAAATTGCTCGGCGTTGGGGAGGCGCTTCTGGCCAGGTTGGCCAGCACTCGCCAAATGACCCCAGTCATTGAGGAGAGCTATTATCGCGTTGGGAGAGAAGGGTTGGGCGGATGAAGGGCATAAACAGTAGCATCCAGATGTAATGAACGATACCTTCAGCCGCCTACGGGTAAGGATATCCTCATGTCTACCAACCCGATAATTGTCTTCCTAAGTCATGCCAGCGAGTGAACACACGGCTCGCCATTGCCAGAGGGGCGGCAATCTACAGAGCTCCTCGTGCCATCACTGCTACGATCAGGTCGGGCATGTCCTCCTACAGGGAAGTTGGAAGAAGCATTAAAAAACAACAGCAGAAAACAAAAAAATGGTCAGTCAATAATCGAAAAGTCGTCTCCAGACTGTTTTTTCGCTAATCTTGAATGTTCCTCCTGTAGAGGGACGTGCCCGACTTAATGTTAGGTCGGGCGTGTCCCCCTACAGGCGGATTTTGGACGAAAAATGAAAAAAACATACTCAAAACATATTCCTAAGTAGTCGAAAAATCAAACAACAAACAGTACTCAAACATAGTCCCCAGACTTTTTTATTACTATGTTTGAGCATTCCTCCTGTAGAG